GGGAAGAAGCTGGGGGAGGCAACGGATTTGGGGTGTATAGGAGGAAGCCGCGGCCGGGAGAAAGAAAGATAGGGTGACTTTTTTAGGCTAGGGGAAATTCCCCTTATAGGTGAATCTTGGTCGCAGGAAACGTAAGCAGATACTTCTCCTCAAACTAGAAGCTGCCTAGTTTTGTAGGCTTTCAATATGATCAATACTTATATGATCAGACTTGTTTTGTCATATTTATTGCTTTACAACTGTTGACCTTATAACCTTAGCTTCTTATTTAATTCTGTTTTCGCATATCTGAAAGCATCTTGTTAATTTGCTGTTCAGCCTATCTAAAAGTTTAACCTTACCTCCCATTCCATTGTATTTGAAAAAGTGTGCATGCACACAAATGTCATACCTTGAATAAAACTTTGTTGGTGTTAAAGGTGCTATTGGACTGTAAATTTGTTCTAATCCTATACAGAGTTACTGGACTGAATAGGGTTGCGTTCTAATCACTCTCCTTGCCTCTCTATCTACAGAGCGACAAATTCCAGAGTAGCAGGCGAGTGAGGCCTGATCTAAACCTGCCTGCAGACAAGTGCTCAGGTTTCACCTGTGGCATGTAGCACCTTTCATCAACTTTGGTTCATTGGCCGTGTGTCCCATTCCGGGAAAGTCAGACCTGGTCCCAGTTATCTATACATTGATCACATTCAAATTAGATGACTGCACTAGGCTTTCTGTACCTTTTCGAAAAATTCAGTTAGTTGGGAAAAGAGATGCAAGACTGCTGCCTGGTCAGCACAGATCCTTGGGAGTTTAGGAACTTCACAGGCTGTCAGCTGTTTTGTATTCTTACCTTTACAGGGCAATCCTGTGCAGTCTAAATTGCTCCAGCCTAAGCTGCGGTGGCTCAAGTGGTTAAGACGCTGAACTGCTGACCGGAAAGTTGGTAGTTCAGCAGTTCAAAGCAAGAAATTGCAAGTAGATACATAGGTACTGCTTCGGTGGTCATGCCAGCCACATGACCACAGAAATGTCTTCAGACAGCGCTAGCTCTTGGGCTTGGAAACAGAGATGAGCACCGCATCCCTAGAGTCGGATTCGACTGGCTTTCGAGCAAGGGAAACCTTTACCTAAGATTCCAGTGGTTTTAGCCTAGAGTAACTCTGCTCAGGATTCAATCTCTAAACAGTCTGGGATTAAAGAATTTTACAGATCACCTGCTCAACTGTTGAAATCTTTATGCTGCCCCCACTCCCTGTTTCCGTGGAAGGTAGATGGAAGGAACTCCCGCAATCCATTCAGTAGGCCCAGCAGGTAGACCTCCATAGCACCAAATGAAGATGGTTTTATTCTCTTCCTGCCTTTAACAACAGGTAGTGTTGCACTGGTTCATGCTCTTCTCATGGTTGACACAACTACAGTTATTGGTGCTATGCTTCGGGAGTCAGTTCTTTGTTTTAGTTTTAATCTTTTTTTATTATTGTCAATATAATGGTTTTAATGTATTTTTATGGACATGTGAATCGCCCCAAGAATTTTGTTAAAAGGCAGTGTATCAGAGTTCAAATACATAAACTATACATTTACAAACTCACCCTAGTTTTATGCTAAAGCCATCATTAAGGAAGGTATTCTTGAGTAAGTACAGTGTGCCTTTCCCTTATCACTGAAAAGGGAAATCTGTTCCATAAAGACAGGATTTAATGATAAAGGGCTTCTAGGACAGAGGTTCTGACTTCCAGGAAGGCCTGAGGCAGAGTACCTGGCTGTCACTGGAGAAATGAAGCATTGACTGTGTTTACACCAGCTCTTGGGACAGATGGGCCCTTGGTACAGAAAGAATACCTCTGCTACATTTCAGCCTGTGCACTTCCAGAACCAGCCCGGCTATTAGGCAAAATCAGGCAGAAGATTATGAGCACAAAGAGGCACCAAACTTGTAAGTTATTTAATATAGGATTATTTTTCTGGGAAAGGGATGCCATTTGTGTCTTCTGCCTCAGGCACCAAAGTGTTTTCCGCCAGTTTTGTGAGCAACCTTACCAGCCAATCACTTTGCCTATGAAACAAATATTCACAAAATAATGAGGCCTTGGAGGTACATTCAGAGGAAGAAATTGTGATTGTGCCTGTTGGCTCATGTGGGCATAAAAAAGCATGTGTCCACCAGACTTTAATGCATTTAGTTATTTATTGAATTTTTATCCCACCTTTCATCTAAGGAGTTCAGGCTACATACATGATTCCCCTCTCCTCCATTTTATCCTCAAAACAATCCTGTGAGGTAGGCCATGCCGAGAGAGAATGACTGGCCCAAGGTCATCCAGTCAGTTTCATGACAAGTGGAGATTTGAACCTGAGTCTCCCCAATGTGATTCTCTAACAACCTCCCCACCCTGGCAGTAAAGTACATTAATTTCGCAATCTCTGTGCCAATTTTCATGCCATGCGCTTGTTATGTGATTTGTCTCTCTGCTGCAGGACCTGTACACTGTCATCGAGTGTGGTCAGGCTGAGACTGCAACAACAGTCATTTACAGCACATACATACATGTATATCATTGATCTGCATGTGGTTATTGTTGTGGATGTTAGCCTATTTTTGTTTTAAATCTTTTTAAAAGTAATTCCATGATGGAGTTATAGTAGTAGGGGATAGTAGTTATAGTAGTAGGGGAGACTACTATAGTAGGTCAGCAAAGAATTTATACTGCTGAGCATATTAATTGTGTTATAGCGAGGCAACATGGCTACATGGATTTTGGTCAAAAATCTAATGATAGGAGCATGAGAGAGCAGAAAGGGAAAAGTTCTGCGTCTTTTAACACCCCCCCCACACACACAAATGCATCACAGTTGTCTGTTACTCTTGTCAAAATCAGTTCCCAGTTTATTGCACTGTCTGAAGAAAAGGTCACATTTCCCTCTCTCTCTTCACCATCAAGTTGCAGTAGCTTATGGTGACCCAGTATGGTTTTCAAAGCAAGAGATGTTCAGAGGTTCTGTTGCCTGCCACTGTGTAGCAACCCTGGACTTCCTTAGTGGTCCCCCTCCCCAGTGACTAACCAGGGCCGACCCAGCTTCGCTTCCGAGATCTGACAAGATCGAGCTAGCCTGGGCTATCCAGGTCAGAGCCTCATTTTCCTCGATCAAAAAAAAATTACCTTTCCGAGTGCCCCTGCAACAGAAAGGCAACTGTGAGGAAAACTGTATGGCACACATGAGGAACAAGAATACATTGCACAAGAAACTGGTTCTGCAGAAAGTCCTTTTAATACCACCAATGAAAGAACTCTCTGCCCTCTCTCTCTCTTGCTTCCTCTCCATAGAAACACACTGGGCAGATAGGGTGTGCAAGCTTTCCTGTTCTTCAGAACTCTTTTTCAGGCTAGCTGTACAGTAAAAATAACCCAAAAGGGGGGGGAGAGATGTTTCAGGACTTAAAATGACAAAGGAACTCTTCCCTTCCAGTTTACCACTACCCATAGCAGTAAGAAGAGCTGGCTGTTTTCTAGACGCAAGTTAATAAAATCATCTGAAACCATCACAAGGTGTGGATTGAGGAAGGGCGATAGCTATATTACTCCATAGGAAAATCCAACCACATAAACCATGGAATACCTTTTATTACAGCCAGGCCACATTTGACAAGTGTGCAAGCTTTCCTGTTCTGCAGGACTGTTCATCAGGGTGAATGAAAGGGCAGAGGAGTTCTCTCAGGCCACAATCTTCACAGAGAAGATTAAGATTCCTTTATGTCTAGTGGAAAAATGTGTATCATTATTCTAACTTGAGCATCACGCATATTAAGTGAACAACGTCTGAAGAAGATTGTTCTGGATTTGTTTGTCTCTTGAAATTGATTTGAATCATGATAGGGAGCGGGGAGGTGGGGAACTAATTTGGGAATCTGGGAGCCTGCAACAGGGCCTCCCTTCCCCTTCGACCCAGGAGAGTTCCTTTGCACTCCCAGGGATCACCCCACACAGAGCACATCCCTACACCTCCTGACTTGCTACTACTTGTACCCGATTCCAGAGATGTAGCCTCCCCTCTCCTCCATGCAAAACATCTGCAAGGAGCCAGCGGTGGTGTCGTGGTTAAGAGCCAAGGACTCACATCTGGAGAACCGGGTTTTACTCCGCTTGAAGCCAAGCTGGGTGACCTTGGATCAGTCATAGCTCTCCCAGCCCCCCAAAATAAGCCTAGCTTGTTGCATCACTAAAAAAGGAGCTAGAGCTTCAGGCTGCCAGACAATCTTAGGCTCTCCTGGCTGGCTATATCACACACAATGCCATGCTATAATTTAATCTGCAAGGTGGAGGTGGGATACGGCATGTCTTCTGCCGCCTCAAGGGCCGGCTGGATGTAGCATTTCCCCCAAACCACCCGTCTCCCTCCTCTGTCCAAGCCTATGCCCCCCCCCTCCACCCGCGCGCACACACGTCCACAAGGCTGCCGGTGTTGGCTGCCGTCGCCCAAAGCGGCGACCCTTCGCGAACTGACCGCCTTGGGACTCCTCAGCTCCCAACGAAGAACGCCGTCGGGGCGGGCTGCGTGCCGGCGACCCTCAGAGAAGAACCGAAGAAGAGCCCTGCCCGGGCTGGATCAGAGCCCAGCATCCTTCCTGTCTGGCACGGTGGCCGGCCGGTTCTTCTGGAAGGGCCACGGCAGAGAGGCCTGAGACCCCCCTTCCCCTCGCCTTGCCACCTGGCTGGGGGGATCCTCCGGCCTCCCCGCCTTCCAAGGCTGTCCTCGGGCACCTGCAGGTGCCCGGGGTGAGGGACTTGCTGGAGCTGCGTCTGCGTCGTGTCTGCGTCTGCGCTTGCGCTGTGGGCTCCCCGAGACGCGCGCCATCCCGCCCGAAGGGACCGCGGCGGCTGCTGCTGCGTGCTCTGTTCGCTTCACCTCGGCCGAGGGTGACCCCAGAGGGACGCCCACTGATGCCAGGGGGCACAGGCGGGGGGGGCGCTCTGGCCGAGACGGCCCCGTCGATGTCTAGAAACCAAGCCCCGTACCTGGAGAACGGAGAGGATCCGCTGCTTCCTAACGGGACAGGCGCTGCCGCCGCCGCCGCGGATTTCCCCCTCTGCGAATCTCTGCTCCGAGGTGCAGACCCGCCGGCTCCTAGGGAGTCCTCCCCCGGGTGGGGGAGCCCAGCCCTGCCCAGCCCACCGCGCAGCCTTCCTGCCCTGGCCCAGCAGCGGCCCCTGGTCCAGAGCCACGGCCGTCCACTTTTGAATGGGAGCCGGGCGAGGGCTGCGCTGCTGCTGCTGCTCTGCGGCTGGACGCTCCTCTCGTTCGCCTTGCAGAGTCGAGGGCGAGCTGGTGCGTCCCTCCTGCCGCTGCCGCTGCTCCTGCCGCTGCCTCACTACATTGGAATGTCTGAGCTAACTGGGCTTCCAGGGCTCGGTCGCCGAGCTGCAGCGCTCAGGGTCCCCGCGGAGCTTTTAATTCACTCCCAGTCCCAGGCCTTGCCAACAGTCTCACACAAGGTGCCTTTCTTGCACCCTGCTTTCTCTCCCCGGCGAGGGGGGGAAATGCAGGCGGCCGCAGTGGAAACAATGGCTCAATTCAGGACTTTGCTCAGAAGTGCAGCACACAACCTCTGCATTGCTGCCAACCATTATCTGTGGTAAGAAAGGCTGTGCTCTAAAGAGCCTTGGGAAAGGGGGGGGGGGGGGGGGGGAAAAGAGGCGAGAAAGCGCGGGAGTTTGTGAGGCGAGTCTTTTGTCGCAGAACTGGGCATCTTTGCATGCAAAAGCTTTTCGGAGCAAACTCAAAACAAGGAGGGGGGGGGAACCAAAAGGTCTTGTAAATCTCTTCTGGAACTTGAATTTCTCCAGCCAAAGTGAAGCAGAAGTTGGCGGAAAGCAGCAAGCAATTTTATGCTGGCCTTTGATATTATAAAACACAGCAATCCTCATAATTATGGTATGTGGAGACCATGTCCCAGTCTTTGGTTGTAAAACTTCACAGTTCATCTACTGCATTCCCTTCCAGTTTCAGGAACACATTATGGTCAGAAAGAAAGGGGGAGAAAATCTGAACATGCGAAGATCAAGTTTAGTTTTATGCAATTTCCATATACAGAAATATATATGTTAAGACACGGTTCAGAAACCACCTTGCATCTCTCTATACTGTTATTAGAAGATCATTATTTTCTGTCTTAGGAAGCCAGTTCATTTATGGTGCTTTTGCAGTAACTCTAATGGGTTGTACAGATGGGATACAAATCAAAGATTAGTAGTGTTCTATGGCGAGAACATTTACAAGTTAATATAATATTTCAGTGGAAAAAATATAAAGACACCATTCAGCTGAAGTTAACTACTTCATTGACTTAGAAAAGAGAAATATAACTTCTCCTACTGAAATCAGAGGAAATCAGAGACAATTTGTGAGTAAACCTTCTTCTGGGAATTTATGTCCATGTTGTACCAAGGGACAGTTCGTGATGAGAATAGAGGGACATGCTTTGTGCCTTTAATGTTGTTGACCACTGGTGCTTTTACATTAATTGGATTACTAATGGCATAGGTTTGGGTGCAGGGTTTTTTTTTGGGGGGAGGGGGTGTTATGGTTTGGCAGGTCCCGGATCCTGACTCCCCAAATCTTTGCATACCACTGTGCTATTTCTAGTAGGCTGCTGCTTTCCATTTCTGTACAATGGTCAATTTGGCAGCTGTTTGCAAATGGATAGCTCTCCTGCTATAAGACAGCATATTTGCTTTCTCCCCGCCAAGCGGCTGAGTAGGCTCAGTTTTGTATCTCCCAGTATTAAGTAACCTGTTCAATATTATTCAATACTGTCTTTTGAAATTGTTTAATAATAGGACAATGCCACCACAGGCAGCTGGGAAAATTGCCCTCCTGTGAATAACCTCTTTAACAAAACCAAGAGCTTTATTTGAACACATGTTTAATTGAGGTCATATACCGGTGGGTAATTGTTTTAGATTAATTCCCTTAATAACGGTCCACCAAGAAATTGTTTTGTTGCTCTCCAGAGTATACAACTAATTTACATCTACCATTAGGTCAAGTTGTACCAGTGGGCCACAAACTGATCTCAAATTGAGTGCACTAGTAACACCATCACCGGTTTTGTTCTTTTTAGAGTGGGAGTGGAGAACTTGAGAATAGGAGTGAAAGAGAGGAAAGGACACACAGTAAAAACTGAAGGGACTTCTGTGTTGCAGGCTGGGATAAAAAGTAGGTCCCAAATTTGAAAATGATGGGGATCCCTAGCACATAGTCCAGGCTTGTAGCTACAGTGGGGCATCTTGGAGCTGGGCCCCCTGACTTACTACTCAGGCCTCCTGACTTTTTGCTGAGCTGGGTGGAGAGAGCTGTTTCAGGCTGTGTGGCAAGCGGAGGCTCAACCCTTCGCTATACCTCTCCCTTGGTGGTTTGTATGAGAGACCATACCTTCTTTGGGGTGCACTTAGGCTTGGATATGTGTGTGGGGGTGCCCCCTGACTTATTGAAAGGCCCCCAAATTAAAAAAAATCCTGGCTATGGGTCTGACATAATCACTAGATGAGAGAAGAAGAAGAGGTTGGATTTATACCCTGCTCTTCACTACCCAAAGAAGTCTCAGAGCGGCTTACAATCTCCTTTCCCTTCCCCTCCCCACAACAGACACCCTGTGAAGATAGGTGGAGCTGAGAGAGTTCTTTGAGAACTGTCCTTGAGAGAACAGCTCTGAAAGAACTTATGACTGACCCAAGGTCACACCAGCAGCTGCATGTGGAGGAGTGGGGAATCAAAACCAGTTCTCCCAGATTAGTGTCTATGAGCCTATTACTATCCAGGGGCAGATCTACTGAGAAACTAATGAAGCTTAAGATTCAGGGCCCCTAATCCTGGAGGGGCCCTGAAGCAACTTTTTATTTAAAAATGAATTTTTCAACAAAATTGATGGAGTTTTTTTTAAGTGTTTGTTATTAAAATAAGGCTATTTTAGTGACAGAATCATAAGCCAATGGGTTTTGACCACAGAATATGCTCTAATACCCATTTCATATGGCCTTGTTGGATGTTGCCCTGTTGTTGCTGGTTGAGAAGGGGCTCCCATAACAGTTCAAGCTTCAGGGTCCCAAACATGTAGGCCACTGTTACTATGATATGGTCTGTTTCAGACATGTACATTCTCTCACATTGTAAAGCAATCATCATCAGAAAGCAATCAAAGGCAAAAGAAAACAAAACATTGATACTCTGCCCTTCCTCCCCCAGCCCAAGGCAGCTTATAAAGCAAGCACGCATGGAAAAACCCGAGCACGGCGCTAAGCACATTCTATAAACCGAGATGATCAAATGTCAACGATAAACATCTCAACTTCCATTACCAGTAGCACCAGAGTCTTTCTTGCTATAGCAGGCATGAGAGGAGGATGGGCAAGGGGACTAGCAAAGGAATGGCAAGGGATACATTTCAGCTGAATATTTCATCGCTGCAGAGCTGAGAAAGGCATGTTCTTCAGGTTGCAACTTGGCAATGCTAATCTCTGTCTCAAACCCCCCCCCCCCCATCAGACTCCAAGTTCAGGATGATCCAATGGCTACATATCAGACAGAATGACTATTTTGTATGACAAGAATAATCCTCTTTGTTCATCGCTGGGGGGAAGCATGCTTCTGTCCTTGGTTACTACAACTATTTACATTAGTCTCTGTATAGCTGAGAATTGACAAGCTTCCCATTTTTCCCAAAGAGAGAAATCTGTGATACCTGACACTTGCGCTAGTGCAATAAAAGGAGGTGATGGTCTTTCCGTTCTACATGCATGTTCAAAGAATTCCAAGACCTGTTTCAAGTTCAGTAAACCTTTGAAAAAGCCTGGTCAGGAGAAGAACCCACTGCCTTGATGTCTCAGCAAACAGCAAATGTACTTCTTCCTCCCAGCACAAATGGCCCTTTTGTCCAATGGACGAGTTGGCTTTACTCCAACGTAATCAATCTGCATTAAGAATAGACCTGTGTAGCTTGAACAGTGGGGCTGTCAGGGTCAGACTTTTTGTGGAGGTTTGGAGCCCCAGTTCACAGGCTCAGTCGGGGGCAGGCTGTAGGTAGCAAACCCTCCTGAGCACACTGGGGCTTACTTCTGATTAAGTATGCATCGAATTAGTGATAACGTATGTTCTGTGGAGAGGAGGGGGTGGAATAAGACAAGTGGACTGGATGATAATTCTGTGCTTTGCATTTGAAGTATGCCTTACCATGGGGTGTGTGCATAAGACCATTAAGTCCAGGGTCTAAAATTATCTTACTGCATCATTGACCTCGAAAACCAACACACACATTTACTGATCGCTTCAGTCCGAATTGTATATTTGTGTTTGAACTATAAGATGCTCCAAAGCAGTGATTCCAGTTCTGTGAGTACTGCCTTAATCTTCATTTATGACTGTATTGCTCATCAGTTCACCTTCTGAGCTCTCCTTCACAAGCATCAGCAGAAGGGGCACACCTCCAACTGCTCCATTACTGTCTGCAGCCACAGCAAGCGCAGGACATTTCATTCACTTGCAGATGTAATGTAAACATTTGACTTTCTTCTGTGTTTTCTGAAAATGCTGCAACACAGGGCCTATTTTAGCATGGGAAAAGAATACAGGCCGGGGGGGGGGGCAAATTAACATGGCAACAGCAGATCCATGTTAAATCCAGACCATGTTAAATCACATGGAAAATGTAGTGTGGAGAGGTCTAATTTTAAAAGCAAGAGGGGTGTGAGAGTGAGGAGCCTCCCCTGATCTATTGCTTACCTTTCCAAGGCCTGTCCAAGCATAACATTTCCCATCAGCCAAGGTCCCTATACAAGAAATGAGAGTGCCTGGAAGAAACATGTTTGCTGATAGGACCCTGCAGGATAGTAAATGGGGGAGTCCTGCACAATCAGCACCCTTCATTCATATGCCCATTTTGATTCTCAGCCCAGGCCCCCCCCATTCCCATTGACTGTGTTTGGTTTTAAATACATGGATCTGCTGATATCAAATCTGGGGGGTGGGGGCTCCTGAAAATTCAGCTTTAAAAAAGGCCTTTTCAAGCATTAAAAATGTAACAGATCAACCCACACATAAAAAGGAGACTGCACTACCCAGTAGCCAGTGTTGCTATTTTGTGTGGCTAGGGCAACACAAGTATTTTCCAGTTCAGGTATGGGTGACTGAAGCCCCATATTTATTGAAGGTATGCACCGACACATACCAAAGGTATAAGACATGTTTGTTGTCCTGCTCCCAACAAATGGCGACCACATATCGGGAGGATCGTGGGTGGAACCAGAGATGATTAATTCTTCAAGTGCCAATATTTTTAACAACGGAAAATGGCTACCAGGGAA